TCCGTCCAGGTTTTCGTGTGCACAGCTCTTCTGAAGTGGCTCTTGCGGTTTCTGATGACCTCCTTATTGCTAAAATGGCCAGCTCTTAGCCCGCATCTGACTCATCTGTCAGTGGCATCCAACACCACCGAGCAGTCCCACCTTCCTGAAAAATTGCCTCCTGTGTCTTCCAGAAGCCCAGACTCTTTTGCATCCCTTCTCACCACATTGCAGATCCCTTCTAAGTCTCTTTTGCTAGAGCATCCGCTCCCCATCCTATAAATCTTGGCGTGCTGCAAGGCTCCCACCTTTTTCTTTATTCTCAGTCCTAAGGTTTTCAAGGCCATCTCTTCATGATGATTTTCAAATTTTATCCCCAGCCTCAACTTTATCCCTTATTTCTAGAATATACGCTTCATGAGAGCACTTAGTTTTATTGGAGACTGTATTCCCAGAGCACAGAGTGGTGCTGACACCGAGCTGGCCCTGCGGTGTGTGCTGGAGAAAAGGCAGCAAACCTGAGCAGAAGGGCAGTCCCCTCAGTGCCTCCCCTGGATACACCTGAAACATGTGATAGGTTGGAAACAGAATGGAATTCTTTCAAGAGTAACCACAGTCACTCTGAATGACTGACAATGTTTTGCATAAACAGGTTGACTCTATTGAAAAGAACTTAAATGGTACAGATAGTATGTCAGCTGTGCGAAGCAAAATAATTGGAATTGAAATTCAGGGAATTGTATCTTATAAGTGTAAAAGGGGAAACAGACCTTGGTTTGAATGTTGCCTTAATCAGGTTACGGATCTTGCCTTTGCCTACCTGAGCATACGCTCTATCATATGGAGGATGGGCTCTATTTTAGAAAGGAAATGCTGGGAAATAAACAAATTCAAAAGAACATCAGGAGGGAGGGTGGGAGTGACAGCAACCATTGTAAGCTGATTTTGCAAGCAAGCAGCTTACATGTTATTAGCCAGAAGCTACCAAGTTCCCTGGAATTTCTGTTAAAAGGGAGTGGATTGGTATTTGTGTGTGTGTGTGTGTGTGTGTGTACCGGAATCGAACCTGGGACCCTTCAGTCCACAGGCTGACTCTCTATCCACTGAGCTAAACCGGCCAGGGCTGGATTGGTATTTGTTGAAGGCCTTCTGCTATCAAGATTTCACAGATTTTTTTTTCATTTAATCTTAACCAAAGCCCTTTAGGTAGATACTATTACCAGGTTCATTTTACACATGAGGAAACTGAGCTTAGAGAGGGTAAGCTACTTACTCAGAGTAATAGGTATTAAGTAGTGGAACTGAGATTAAAACTGTCTTAACTCTGTCTTAAGACTAGGCCCAGCCCTGGCCGGTTTGGCTCAGTGGATAAAGCATGGGCCTGTGGACTGAAGGGTCCTGGGTTTGATTCAGTCAAGGGCATGTATGTACCTCAGTTGCAGGCTCCTCCCTGGCCCCGGCTCTGGTCAGGCTCATGCAGGAAGCAACCAATCAATGTATCTCTCTCACATCGATATTTCTCTCTGTCTTTCCCTCTCTCTTCCACTCTCTAAAAATCTATGAAAAAATATCCTCGGGTGAGGATTAAAAAATAAATAAATAAAAATAAAGTACTTGTACCATTTAAAAAAATAAATAAGCGCTACATTATTAAAAACAAACAAAAAAAACAACAAAAATGAGGCTCACATTCTTTCCTTTAATTTGTATGCCAGAAGCCACTATCAAGTACTGCTAACACCTTAAAGCAACCAAGTATCAACACAGTGTTTTTTGTTTTTGTTTTTAATCCTCACCCAAGGATATTTTTTCCATTGATTTTTTAAAGAGAGTGGAAGGGAGAGATAGAGACAGGGAGAAACATCAATGTGAGAGAGATACATCGATGGGTTGCCTCCCTCACATGCCCCAACTGGGGCTGGGGATGGAGCCTGAAACCAAGGTATGCGCCCTTGAATGGAATGGAATCTGTGATCCTTCAGTCCTCAGGCTGGTGCTCTAACCACTGCACAACCAGCTAAAGCTCCATACTGTGCTGTTTATTAACAAGTTGAAATTATCGAAATCCAACACACATACTTGTTGAGTACCTAATGTGTGCCAGGCACCATTCTAAGTGCCAGGGATATAGAAGTGAACAAGACAGATAACATCTTTGCCCTTATGGAGCTTACATTTATATGGAGATGACTGATCAAACATAAAGATGTAAATGAAGATCATTATTGATAATAATGAAGGAAATAAACACAGTAATGAGATAAGCAGTAAAAAAGGGTGAGGGGTGGGCTGCTACTTCGAGAGGTTAGGAAAGACCTCCTCTGATGAGGTGACTACTGAACTGAGACCTGGAGGATGGGAAGAAGGCAGCCAAGCAGCTTTGGGAAGAGCATTCCAGGTGGAGGGAACAGCCAGGGCACAGGCTCCGAAGTGGTATGTTAAGCAATAGAAGGAAACCAGAGCCCGTCCAGGGTGGCGAACACGGGGAAGAGGGTGGGGATGAGGGTGGAGAGGAAGACGGGTTAGATTCTATAGGGTAAAGCATTTTGATTTTATTTTAAGGGCAATGAAGAGCCATTGAAGAATTTTGGATAATAAATAATGTGATCTACACTTTAAAAGCTCTCTCTTACTGGAGGATAGACTACAGAGGAACAAGAGAGAAAGAACAGGAAATGAGTTAGGAGGCAGTTTCTAAAACCATGGAGAGCTGATGGTGGTTGGGACTAGCATGGTGGCAATGGACATGGAGAGAAATGGTCGGACTTTGAGGGGTGGTTTGAAGACTGAGCCAACAGGCAATTAAAATATGTATAAAGTTATGCTTTTCAATACAATAACTATGGCCACTTATTTAAATTAAATACGATTAAAAATTCTATTTCTCAAGTCACACTTTTCAAATGCCCAGTAACCACATGTAACTAGTAACTACTGTGTTGGACATTTCCATCATCACAGAATATTCTACCGAACAGTGTTGGTGAGACAACCAGGACAGTGGCTAACACATTTTAGGAGTTTAGTAATGATTAATATTAAGTATATCTATGTCACTAAGTCTTTTGTTCCCCTATATTTACCTGTTCAACCACCTCTTTATGTTTTTTAAATATATTTTTATTGATTCCAGAGAGGAAGAGAGAGGGAGGGAGAGAGAGATGGAAACATCAATGATGAGAGAAAATCATCAATCGACTGCCTCCTGCATGTCCTCCACTGGGGATCAAGCCCACAACTGGGCCATGTACCCTGATGGGAACTCAACAGGCAACCTTTTTGGGTACATGGGATGACACCCAACCAACTGAGCCTTACTGGCCAGGCCTATGCAACAAATGTCTGATTGTCCACTGTGCTTGGAGAGGGCGTGGTGGACAGGTGGCATAAAAGAACATGATCAGGCAAGACCACCTCCTGGGGAAATGGACCTGTACAAATGAGGGAGAACCTGGTGCTTGCGGGCTCCAAGACCCCAGATGGAGAAGGGAGGATGGAAGTGGGGGTTGAGAAAGATGGAGTTTGGACTAGGTCTGGGCTCTGTCGTGAAGACAACCTTGGCCTGAGACGTGCTCCCCAGAGTCAGTTCTGTATGTCACAGTTTACGAAGCACCCTCGCACATGCCCATCTTACCACGTGAGGGGAAGTGCAGGGCCTGGCCAGAGCCCTCACCTGGTGACCTGGTTACAGCCAGGAGTCAGACTTAATGTTATGTTCCTAAAACACCCTACTCCCCTCGGGGATCACACTTTTCTCTGAGGGTGGGCCTCCTCCTTAAAGAAGCCCTCTCCCTCCCTGATCACCCTGGGGGCTGTGTTCTGGTTGTAGGCCTACCAGGATGGAGGGGCATGCTGAAATGGAGGTGCTGAGAACCCTGAAGGGGCCCTCTACCGGGGAGGTCAGCGTGCACCTGGTGGCCAGGGGCAGCCCAGGTTCTGGCCCTCACCTGCCCACTACTGCCTTCATCATTCCAGGTGGGCCAAGCCAGGGGTCTTGGGAGGAGGAGCATCCCCATGCCTGCCCAAGCAGGTGTGGATCCCGGGGAGGAGATGGTACTCTCACCTGCCTACACATGCATGGCGGTTTTGGGGTCGAGCCACCGGGCTCACCTGTGTCGTGTCTGACTGGGTATCTGTTCACAGCCAGCTCTGCCACCCTTGGCCTGCCCAGCAGTTCCCTGGATGTGCCCTGCTTTCCACGGGAGCCGATCCATGTGGGCGCCCCGCAGCGAGTGCCCGGCAGCGTACCTGTCATGGCCACCGTTCTGCCGCAGTTGAGCGCAGGGCCGGCGGCCAGCTCCAGCGCCAGCACAGTGCGGCTTCTGGGGTGGACCGAGGCCGAGGCGGCCGCCCCGGCCCCGCCTCCTGGGGGCGGCCTACGGGTCAGTGTCTCTGGGGATTGGCGGGGTCCAGCCTCAGCTGCGGTGGGGCTTGCGGGGACCAGAGGTGGAAAGTGGGGGGAGCTGGCGGGGATGTAGGCTCCGTGGGTGGGGCTCTGAGTGAGGGACTGGGGGCTCGGCTTGGAGTCACGA